GTCAACCTTTGAGTTTTTATTTATCTATTTGTAAAATAAGTGGTTTAAAAATAATATTAATAATAATATAATTACCAGACTAGACAGGTATTCATTAAATGAACACCCGTCTAGTCTAGATTTATAAATGAATTTTATTAGTAAATCTCCAAATTAATAATCGTATGACAAATAACTTCACATCAAAACTAATTTTGTTTTAATGTATATAATGAAACCGATTTCTATTTAAGCATTGAATAAATTATAATGAATATTGTTTAATTACGGATTATACAAGGTTTATATATTATTAATACTAGTAAAAATATTTTTATTGGTCATTTTAGTGATTATAGTGTTAATAACATATATTGGTAAATTAGAAAATATGATTTAACAAAGTAAATGTATTTTTATGAATTAATAGAATATTTTATTCTAAATAAGTTTTAAATTTATAATAAATATTGTCACTTAATAATGAATATATGATTAACAATATTAACTGTTACGAATAAATGTTATTAAATGTTAAAATTGTAAGTTTCAGTAGATCTGGTTCGTTATTAATAAAGATTCAGACTTATGTAGGAATTCTCGTATTTTTTAATCATCATTCAAAACATAGTTAAGTAGTATAAAGATTTTTTCATTATTTCAGGGACTTTTAAAAATATTATTTTTCAAAAAGTTCATAATTTTATATTAATGATTCTGGTCGCTAGGAGCAGTTACCCCCCCTAGTCGAAATACGGCAGGGAAAAAGTATCATGTCGCACCCCCAATTGAATCTAATAGAAGAATTATGGCTAATTATTATTGTTAAAAATCTGGGTTAAGTTTTAAAATATTCTTTAATACTTTAATTTAAAAAAAATCATTTATTATCGTTTTTAGATTATGTGATTATCCCATTGTATTATTTTAATTGTTATTATGTTATCAATAGTAACCGAGAAAATTTTACTGACTAAAGTGAAATATCAATCAAATTTTCACCAAGGATTAAATTTAATTTTTATTCAGTACTTCTCTATATAGTTCAACATTTTTATTTTTAATCTAGTAAAAAATATTCTAGTTAAAAGTTTTAAATTTATATACCTCATGAATATAACTAGATAGTTAAAAAAGTTAATTAGTTTTATTTATTGTAATAAATAAAGAAAAATTATAATTAATCCTATTACAATATGTTTGTATGTTATTAATAATATAATAAAGAATAATAAGTATTATCAAGAGCAAAAATTATACACTACAGAATTTTATTATATCATCACTGAAATTAAAAAAAAAATAGCTTTACCCACCTTTTAACTTTTTGCCACCTCATATAAAAATAGTTCTGACAACCTTTCTTTATCCTCTGCAACCTTAATTTATTAGTTCAAAGATTTTTTGGAGTAGCTTTTATTTTAAATATTTTAACTTTCAAGGAAAAATAGAAAAGAAATATTTGGAATTATACATCTACCTCCCAGAAAAATTATTCGATTTTTGGGTTAAATACACGAATTTGGTAAAATAATGGTAGAAAAAATTACATAAATATTGAACAATAGCGTATCAGAAAACTCATATCAGATTGAATATCAAATACGTTCTATGTACTATCTTAATTCTACAAAAAATTGTATTTGTTCATACTACTGCTTTATTTGAGTTGTTAAAATTCTTTGTATAATAATTTTTATATCATTCTGTAATTAATGATTTATACGTAAATCAAAATTATTTTGATTAAGTAGATTAAATTAAATTTTTAAACTAGCGTGTGTATAAAATAGCAACGAAAAAATAAAAATGTCATGAAAAACAATCAGAGGACACTTCCAAAAAACACTGAATACGATTGATTTTTGTTATAAAATATATATTATATTATACTGTTTTTATTTGTATAATTACAGAATTTGATTAAATAGTTATAATTATAAAACCACAACAGTAGAAAATTACTAAGAATTAATTGTGTTACAAAATTTATATGTAATCATATAAAAATTGAAAAATTAGAAAATAGTGGTTAAAAACATAATATAAAATAAATTTCTTAGCGATTTTTGTATGTAAATGTACTTTTGTTCATGGTTGAATTATGAAAGATTAGCAATTGTTTGGAGGTCTTCCGTTTCCTGGATTATGGTAGCATCTTCCTTCCTTCCATGATGGATTATTTTTTTGACAATGTAATCCTGCGTCGCAGTTACCTCTGCATCCATTTCGTCCTCTACATGGCCTATCAAAACCGACTGCTTCGAGCGATGGAACCATCATTGCTGACAAAATAACACACACGACGAAAAACACTGAGAAAAATTTCATTGTGACTCAGTTGGTTCGTTTTAACTTAATTTGTTTAATAAGTAGTTAAATCGAAGATAAAGAATTGAATGAACTGAAGAACTCGGAACTGCGCTGAGTTTATATAGTTTATGCTTTTTAAACTATTACTAATAAAATAAAAGTAATGAATTGATTATCTTGGGTTTTTTGAAGCTCTTATTTTATCACACGTAATCTAATTTCGTTTATCTTGGGTTATTCACATAATTAATATATTACATTATGATAAAGCGTTTGATGCAATTTTTTATATAACGTTTTATGCAATTTTAATTTCTTTAGAATTCAAAATACATTTTGCTTTAAGCTATTACAGAACTAATGTAAATGATGAAATTTTGTATTAAGCTACAGAAAAAGTTATTCAAAAATTTATAATTAAATCTATTTAGGAAATAGCCTTTAGCCGGTAGAGTAGCTAGGGGAGCTATAAGTCTATAGTGCCCTTTTAGACAGTAGTGTAACAATGGTTAGCTGGGTGGTGGTAGCTCCCCTTTTAAAATTTTATAAAAATTTTTATTTTTAACTATGGTTTTTAAAAATAACTGACAAAGACATAGTTTATATTTTTACTATTTTTAAAGTGTTAAGTAACTTCCCTACATTGGCTTTTCCACTTAACACCGCGGTGAGCATAACATAACTTTTCATTATTTTAACGATAAATAATTTTATTTTATAATAATATTATGTTATGTTTTATAAGTACTATTTAGAATATCTTCAATTTTCATTTGAATGAAAAACTCAAAACTATTTTGGGTTTTTTTAAATTAAAACATATATGATCCTAATGAACTATGATGCCATTTGTTAATTATGTAGTTAATTAAATTTTTTAAATTGATTTTGTTTATAATTTTAGTTGCGGGTTAAAATCATTTAAAAAAGAATCTTTAAGAACCGGTTAAAACCATTTCTGACAAAGAAAATAAAGTGCCAGAACCTCAAATTATTTTTTTTAAAAGAACCGGAACCCTACTAATAACCCATTCTTTTAAAGATTTATATAAAATAAGTTATAAACTATGTCAACACATAAGTTTATAATATTCACACATTGCTGTGTTAAAATATTTATTATGTTATTATCACAATGATATTTTTCGTTCAAAATCATGATTACGATTAATTAGTTGTTTCATGGTGTAATCATAATAGTAATAAATAATTAATATTGTATTATAATAGTGTTGTAAAATTAATTGTCAATTTGTAGTTGTAATGTTCTTGCTTAATGAGGTTTATTTAAAATTTTCTGTGCATATATACTACATTTTCCTGTTTTCTAATATTTAGATATGATAAGTGTATTGTTGTGTCTTTGTTTTTATTTTATTATTTTTTAATTGACAAACTAATCTGTTATAAATTGTTATTTTGGGTTAATGTCCGTATAGTGTATAAAATATAATAATAACATATTCATGAGTTAGCGGTAGTGATCTAAAGAAAAAATATTTTTAAAAGAATATTCTTGGTAACGGAAACACTGTATCTTTCAAAGAATTTTCTTTGGGAATCATTTATATTACATCAAGAAAAGTAATTTTTTTTTTTAACAATTGCCGTAGTCTATTATTATGATTGTGAACAATGTAATTCAACACACAAAAGTTAATATCTCTTTATTATTCTTCAAATCTTCTCCGAGGGGTCTTTGGCATTTCTCTAGGGGGCTGAGCCCCCACGGAGTAATGCCTAAAAGAAACACTAAATGAAAATATTCTTCTATAGACTATGGAGAATAAACAAATTAAAAAAAATAGAACTAAATAATTTCTTAAGAATATTTTATTTAACTTGAAAATTATTGAACTTTTATTTGATTGATAAAAAATGATAACAATCATATACTAACATAAATAATAAAAACTCTCTAAAATATTTAACCATTTATAACAATACTTAATCACTTTGACTTCAAATTAATTAAAAGTAAGTAAATCATTTATTTTAACTTTGAAGTATTAAAATTAATGTTATAATTTTATAAAATAAAAATTTATAATAAACGAATATCATATTTTACAATTAAATTAATACTTATACATAAATATGCATAGCTAAAACTAAAATGAATAATAAGCGAACTACCATTTACGTCATAAATCTTTAATTTTAGAAAGTACTGTTATGTGGGCACTTTTTAATAAATATATATCAATAATAGCACGTGACAAAAGAGAACATGTCACGTTGGTTCACTTTGGCTATATTTTGTTAGCACCACTATAGTGGGTTTTTTAGCACTGTATTGGACACTTAAAAATAATAGATAGCTGATAAAACCATAATATCACAATTAAAACAAAAATATCCACAAGGGTCTTCATCTAAAAATATTTTATAACAATAAATGTACATTATTTAATTTTTGAGAGTGCGGGTGGTAAGAGTTAGGGCATAAAATCATTCAATAAAGTACATTCTGCGAAATTAAACCAACAGCGCCTATGATTCCTATCAATGAGATTTTAATTTTTAATTTTTTATAAATTATATCTATTCTCTCTGTTAATATTTTATTTATAGTGTGTAGTGATAAGCATCAGTAGTACAACACTCGTCTTTAATGGTAATTATTAATGGAGCATAGTACAAGATGATTACAAAACATAAGCGATACATTTTATTAAACTAAATTACAAACTGAAAAAACATATAAAATTTAATTAAGTAGTGTTTATTTTAGAGAAATTTTATTAATAAAATATTTCTTACACAAAAATCATAGAATAAGCTTTTTAGATAAAATATTTGAAAAAATATATATATTTTTATTTTATAAACCATACTAACACACGCACACACACACACACACACATATATATATATATATATATATATATATATATACAGTATTATTGATTGCCTTTTAAATATAGTAATAAAATTTTATCAACATTTTAAGTTTTATGATGACTATTTAATGTGAATAAATATTTTTACATTAATTAACATTAAGATTACATAAATATTAACATTTCAGTAAATTTGTATTTACGCTCATTTGTTCAGGCGTTCAATTTCGTTTATCAATTAAAAAAAAAAAATAAGTATCACGTAAATTATTATTGATTTCTTAATACCTTATTAATTAAAAATCGTATATACGCAGTTTTATTTGTTTTTAAGTTCAAATATTATATTAAAAAAATAAAATTAATACAAATATAAATATCACACTAAGTAAAAGTATTATATGTAATTAATATTTTTAGATAAATAAAAAATTGTAAAGTGATATAATATAGAAAATTTTATAAAATCATAGAGGACAGCACACGTATTTCAATCCATTTTCACAAGGCTGTCGACTCACTTCTCTCATATCATAATGCGAACATCCTTTAACAGGACCATTAATTTTATGGCAACCCGTTGTCCAACATTCTAAACAAAAAAATAATTAATTATTAAGTGTCGTTAATAATATGATGTTAATGTTGTACAATTATATTTTTTAAAGAAATTAAAAAAAATTGTATACAGTTTTACAATCGTTAACACGTTAACCACCAGTTTGTTGTTCGACTTAAAAGTTGGATTTTTTTGACAACCAATAATCATACTTGATCATTTCTTGCACGCCATATTGTTATTAATAATAATACATATAATTATGATCACCAACGATTATATGACAGCCAATATGTTAAAACCATTAGGGTAGCTAGACGTTTTTATTTTTTTCATAAATAAACCCTTTTTTAGAATAAGAATGAAAAGAGGGCTTAAGTCTCTTCTTTTATCTCTTTTCAACTAATGGATTTTACTCGTTAGAAAAAAAATAATGGCCCGGCTGATGTTTAAATATTAAATAATAAGATACCAAATAAAAATTTAACTTGGTGACAAAAAATTACCATCTAACTAAATTTTAAAAAATATCATTAATAGACTGATATAAATTTAAAGCAGAATCAGAATCACCTGGTGAGTTAACATTTATTGGGGTATTAGTCTGACTATCTGGAAAAACTTGTTGTTGATTATTTATTTGAGTGTCTGGAAATACTTGTGGTTCGTTATTTGATTGTACATCTGGAAATACTTGAGGTTGCTGGTTTTCTTGAGATATGTGAGGCTCAGAAGGTATCTGAGGCTCTAGATTATTGCTAGCTCGAGGACAACATGAGTACATAATACCACCACTACATGGTTGTTGTCTGGTCTCGTCCATTCCATATTGTTCACAACCTCTAATTAACCAATCGTCTTTTTGACAACCAGTAGTCCAACATCCTAGTAATAACATAGCTTCGTAAAATTTATTTAAGCAATTGATTATCAATTAAATGATGTTATACAAAAAGTGCCTATCCCACATTAATGATTCTATTTCACAATTTAATTTATTTGGATATAAATGTCATTTTCATTGGTTTAATCATTAAATTAATTTTTGAAATATCATCATAGAATGAAATACCAATAGAACATATTTTTGGTTATGTGGGCAAAATCCGTAATTAGACATTTTTCATCTGGTTTAAAAAAAAATTGTTTCTTTTTTTTTGAAGTTGCTTTTTGTATAACGTCATTTAATTATAGTATAAGGTAAAGTTGTACAATTATTGACACCATAAGAAAAATGTCTAGATTTTGGTCAATTTATTTATTTTCTTACACAAGTTATATTTTTCTCTTTATATTTTATAAATAAAAAATGTTATTTTATTTGAATTATGCTATTAGAATTTGTTTAAGTTCAATACTTTTTGTTTAATTAATTCATAAAAAAATATTTAAAATAGTTATTGGTATTTAAATTTTTCAATAAGTACGAATGTTATTCAGATAAGACAATTATTGGTACCCTTTGTAAAATGATATAGTACCTTTCATAGTTAAGGAAAAATTTTAATTTTGACATAAATATAAATCTTATAATCCGTCTATATATTAAAATATCTTCTCACCTTCGCATCGAAGCTAAAACATTAATTTTAAAAACTAATATACCATCTTTTATTAATAAAATGATTACAAATGTGTCAATAACTCTATACCTCTACTAATAACTGTACACTTTACCCTTCTAAATATATTTTAATGAATCATACTAAACTCTGATGATCGCACTATGGATTGAGTATCAATGATGAAACTAGGTGCTCAAACACAATAAGTATAAAGAATGCCTGCATCGCATGACTGTCGATTTGTTTCAACCCTATTATAACATGTTATTGGTCGCATCCGAATAAAAAATTCCAATAATTCACATCCCAATTATGTTTTTGATAACCCGTAGTGCAGCAATCTATTGATTATAATACATTTTATTATTTTTCTCATATCAAATGAAGTTCTAATAAACTTATTTAAAATCTTTTTAAAACTAAAAATTTTAAAATAATTAATTAATAGTCTGTATTAGAAATCATAAATGATTCCTAATAACTATAAATTTAGCTTTTATATTTATAAGATTAAATCACAATTTTCGAACATATCTACTTTTCAAAACTCCTACCTGTAGCTATACTTTTAAAATTAAACATTAAGAGGGGCGTCTAAGAAATTATTTTTAAGTATGAAATCGTATCTCAAGAGTGTACGAATTCTAGAGAACTAGTTAGTTACAGAGAGATGGTGTATCAAATTTAAGATTGATAATAATATCTACATACCACATGGACGATGTTTGGTAGAGCATTTTTAAAGAGTTATAGGCGTTTGGATAAATGCAAAAAATTGTTCAAATAATTAAATGTTTTTTAGAATCGATTAATCAAAACTTACAAAATACTGGTCCACAAGTTGTAAAAGCCTTATATGTTGATAAAAAGTTTTAATGGTTAGATTCCAAGGTGCAAAATCATCAGAATGAAGATAGTTAAATCTATAAAAATCCAAAAAAATTGTTAAAACCTGATGTTTGGCTGGTTGAACTAGATGAACTTCCATCTTTTGAGCAACACGTAAACAAAAGTCCTCCGTCACATGATTGTCGACCTATTTCTTTCATACCATACTCAGCACAACCTCTAACAGCCCATGTATCCAATTGGCAACCTGTAGTCCAACATTCAGTGCGAACAAAATTCATCAACAAGGAACAATAGATTATAAAAAATAAAATAATATTGTACATTTCAAAAACTATAAAAAGAATATTTTTAAAATTCAATATTTAATAACTGTTTAAAAATTTAAATTTATATTAGAATAGTAATTGTTTAATTATTATCAATTTTTTAATGCACTAAAATATCAAGTACATCTGCGAATAATTGTAATAAACAACAAGAGTTGATAATTCAACACTGAATAGAAATAGGAAACGGTAACGGAAACCCTACCTAACTAAAATTGTTGGCTTATTTTAATGTTGTTTGCAATAACGTTCAATAACAAAAACAGGTTTTAACCAGACCCGTGGAAAATAACGGCAAGTAATTTCAATATAATAATATATAAACTTCTATATTAGATACGAACAAATATTCGTTAGCTACTTGTTATTTAATTGAAATTATCAATTAATTAGGTACACAGTACACGCTGTAAAAACCAAAACATACGGAAAACCCAATAAAAACTTATAGAATAATGAAATGTTTGCATGACGCATGTAATAGTTATAAAGAAACGTTTTGTATGCTTTTATTTAATTTTAATTAATGCATATAATCGTCCACTACTTTTTTTAATAAAAGTATAAAGAGTAAATGAAAAAAACAATAGAAACTACTTTTTTGTACACTAAGAAATTGATGATTAAAATTTCAAAACGTAAAAAATAGTATTTAACAAACTAAAAATTTTAATTAGTTGAATGTAGAGATTTAATGTGAAGAAGCAAAATAAATTATGTTTGCTACGTTTAAAAATAATTACAAATATAATAAAAAAGTCATCCTTAGTACTTTATTTTAAATAACTACCTTGTCATCTAAATAAAAAAAAAAATTGAACCATTTAAAACTGAGAACAAATTAAGTATACAGTATAAGCTTCACGAGATATAGTTATTTTTGAACATTTTATCATATTTTAGTTTTTTTTTATTAATATGCCTGTGTGTCAATATATATGTCTTTGTTATTAGCTTTTTCATGAATATTAAAAGTGTTATTTATTTTCTAAATAAATATTACGAAAATATAAGAAATATAAATGAACATTCCATAATTATAAATATATGTTTTTTTACGTACAAAAAATTCTAGTAAGTAGTAATGATTAATATCAATAACTAATAATAAAAATAATAATAACATAAAATTAATTATTTATTTATTCAGTATCCATCTTTCTTGTATAGAGAGAGAGACTATATACAAATATATATTATCCTGGTTCTAAAATTAATATCATATATAATTAATTATTTAATTGAAATCGTCATGTCTAGTGTTTTTAAAAAGATTAACACTTGATATTCTACATCAAAAATTAAAAATAAGTTAATATTTTAATTATATCGTAATTTTTAGTAATTTAATATTATATTGCAATTAAAGTTACAATGATATAGAAAATAAAATAATAATTTAATATGAAAACAAAAATGTTAATTAAACGATCTATTTTGGATTAATTATAAACATTTAAATAATCCAAGAACTATTAATATTCATTTTTTTTTTATAATATAGACGATAAAGGTTTTAACTTGATTTGATGTGTTTCAGTATTTGTGCCCCATCAATGATGAGACACTATATAATATTATATATTATAATATTGTAGTGCTATAATAATTATTAACACATATATTGGTGTGACACTTTATGCAACAACGGTAGTCACTTAGTAATGAATTTAGAAAATGTTTATGACACCGCCTGAGAATTAACAGAGGATGTCAGATTCCACTTTGCAGAATCGACTTAATGCGGTTATTTTTGCGAGATTATATTCAATAGTTTCAAAAAGAGATTCTACACACGCTGTAGGGAAACGTTGTAAGTCTTATCTCTGATTGATTTCCTGAAAGTAATAAAAAGTGATTTACTGTCCTATTCATTGCGTAAACCGAAATGTCTCATAACTAGCGGTCGAATTTATATTCTCTTAAAATCCTTAAAATATGATGTTTTTATGACACATAAAATAGGCAATATATTCTCATAATATTCTTTTAAAAGACCACATATATGATGTTTTATGTCCTTAAATATGCAAAATATTCTTTTAATATTAAAAAAAAAATTCAGTTTAAATTTATTTTTTTACTAATTTAATTAATTTTACAATAACAATTAATTACTATATATTGTTCAATGTGTTCCGGTGTCATTTTAGTACGCCGGTTTGTAAGAATATTTTTGTAGATGCTAAAGGACCGTTCGACATCAACCGATGTCACTGGAGAATATTGCAAGTCGCCCATTATAGTCAGTGAATAATTTTCCGGAAGTTGTACTGTGTTATTTCCAGTAAGAACTTGTCCAATGTTTTTCAAAAATTTGTATCCTTTGTTTTTTTGTTGAAGTTGCAATATTTTTGTTTTTACTACTTCTCCTTTTTCTCCTGGTATCTGCTCAAGTTGTGTAAAAGTGTTTTTGATAATATTTATCATATAAACTAAGGGAATATTTGATTTTTCTAAACTTTTGATAGTTGTAACAATTTGAAGAAAATTAGTTTTGATAAAAATCAAATCATTTTTTACAGACTGTAGGTGTAACATATTTTTGTATTTTTCAATACTGATTGACGACTTTTCTTCACTTAATTTGTCTATAACCTTTTTCAAACCCTCAAAATTATCGCAATTAAATACTGTGGCTTCCACCCAAGTTCTCCATCTAGTTAATACGGATTCTGGGGGTATTGGCACATTGGGCAATATTTCTTTGTACATCTGGACATATGGCGCTTTTAAAAATACTTTTTTTAGATTACTGATTAATTTGTTAACATTTGGAAATATTTCTCTGCAACCTTGTTCATCATGTGAGCTACACACGTAACGTGAATTTGGGTAGAAAACTTTTAGTATATCACCAGTTTTTGTCATATATGGAGCTGCATCCGATAACATTACCAACACTTTTTCGTCATTTCCACCCAACGGCCATAATAATTTTAATCCATCATAGATAAACCAAGCAACAGTGGAATGATTAGTTTTTTCCAAAACTTTGCATGTCAGGAGAAATAAGGGAGTCGGAGTATTTGATTTTAATATACCCACCAGTAAATTTGTAACGTAACGACCGTTTGTTTCTGTAGTTTCATCTACAGCAATCCAAATATTATTTTCATCAATTTCATTTTTAATTTTCGTTGAAGTATTATGGCTCGAGATAACTTTTAAGTAACGCACTTTCATCTGGGATATGTTTGCCAGTGTATTCCTCTAAAATGTACGTAATTGAGGAACTTCCAATTTATACCAAGGAATATTAGCTGCTACTAATGCTTGACACAAATCTTTGTTAAAATCATTTAAGTTGTTTTCATTGGGAGTAGCTTCTGATAAAAATAATTGTTTTGATGAAGTATTTAATTTACGTTTTAAACCATTTTTATGTACAGCCGTATGTACATGTTGTGTTACCTGTGATTTTTTGGTGCAAGGAATATTTCTGTCACAGACTTGACAAAAAATTGTCGTGAAAATCGTTTGTTGGTTATTGTACGACGAAATCCATTGAGCAAATAAACTTTTTAAACTGCATGAAGTTTTTGGCATATTTGTGTGTTATAGACTATAACATACAAATACTATAACTTATAGTAATATGAGGCAAGTGGAAAGACAATATGTAAGCATTAATATATCGCACGACTAGTAGACGACAAATAGTCGTGACAGCAACGAAATAACCTTGTGCTATCGCAATCGATAAGGAATACCTGGAGATTAATTTTTATTAAACCCAGAAACAAATCATTTAGTGAACATTGTATTTATCAAAGTGCTGATATACGTGAAATATGTTCATTATATGCCAGTATTACAAAAATATTCTCTAACCCCTAAAATATACTTTTTTATGCAAAATAAATTTTTTCTTGTGAATTCTGTGTTTCGTGAATCATAATGATTTCTCACTACCATTTAACTGCATAGACTAGAAACAAATATGTAAAATCATAAAAATCCGACCTCTACTCATAACCATTGAATTGAATTCAAAGAGTACAATGTATATTTTTGACACTTTAATAATTAAACAGTTATATTAATAATAAAAGTAAATGATAAAAATTATGCAATAATAATTATTCTTTTTGGTGGCAATTTTTACGTACGTTCTCTACTTAAGTTTATATTATTTAACTTAAAATTACCAATAATATGATATCACAACACAATTTTTCTCAAATAATCAGCTTAATTCGTTTTATTTAAAAAGAAACAAAAATATCCATAATGAATAAATACCTATTATATCAGTCTTACTTTAGGAACTAATTCAATTATGTAAAGAGAGAAGTATAAGCTTTTGGATCACGGGTGGTAACGTATTGTTACGAGCACCGTTGCAAAAGATTGAAGTCAGTAAAATCAATAAAAAGTATGCTCGATCAAATTAGTGCGCAGGACCGGTCTAGGGGCAAAATATACAATCAACATCAAGCCCAACCCAACGCGTATATACGTTGCGTACATTTTCTATATTAAGGGGCACCGTCCCGATTTAACCAAGTATATTAATGAATTTTTTTCATTTATTTCGGTTTTAAATTTCATTTATAATTTTTTTATTATTACTATTAACATTAATTGTGTTGTAATACATCTTTTTTATATTACCTGCTACACCGTAGTAGTTTATCAATCAAGATTTAACTCGTTGATAAATCTAACCTTAATTTATTTAAATATAATAATACATAGCAATACTGCAAATTAATTTATATTATAAATTGACACTTAATGCTGAAAATGAATTTTTCCACCAGAACCCTTTCACTTATAAACTACGTAAATAAATATTTTTGCAAAATATAAAAAATTAAAAATAAGTGTCAATTATGTCTGTTTATAATCACTACACATAAAATAGATGTGAAAAATTTTTATTTGACAGTTTCAAACAAAATAAAGTATAAAAAACCCAGCACAGGGGGGTCGCGGCACAGTGGTGACGTGGCATAGTTGGATCAAGTATAATGATATCTGACAGTGATTAAAATCACTATCAAAAATAAACGCTTCGATGCAAATCTTTAGATAGTGTTTAATTTTAAAAAAATTGGTGTTTTATTCCAAAAGCTACTTGATCTGCTGGTTCCTTATTAATATCTCGATTAAGATAAAGTATGTCGAATGAAAAAGGGTTTATTAAAAAATATTATTTCTCATAAAAAAATTGTGTGGATCCATAAACTTTTCAATAAGTTATAGCATTATAAAGTTAAATATAATATAAATAATAAAATCGAGAATTTTCACACGAAAAATGCATTCGGTAGCCATTTTCGCCATGAAGACAAGCCCAGAGGTCAAATTTTTTTTTATATAAAAGTATATANTTGTTAAATATAATATAAATAATAAAATCGAGAATTTTCACACGAAAAATGCATTCGGTAGCCATTTTCGCCATGAAGACAAGTCCAGAGGTCAAATTTTTTTTTTCCAAATTAAAGAACATTACATTAGCTTTAATTTAAGATATATATAAAAGTGTCAGACCTTCCGGAACATTTTCAAAAGTTATGTTGAAAAAGTAAATTTGTTGTGAAAAAGTTGTCATTTTAAATCCCCCCCTGTGGGCAGGTTAAGTGTCAGATTTACAAAAAAAATATACCAAATGATAGGTAAAGACATCAAGCATCTATATAAAAAAAAATTATATTGATATGTTCATTTTTGAAAAAGTTACGGCAGTTTTTAGTAAAAAAAATTGAAAAAATTTCGAAAATTAGCGATTTTTAAATTTGTAATTTTTTTGGAGGTTTCCCCCATTTACGGGGAACGAGGGAAATTTTTTCAATTTTGAAGGGTAATGTCTTCGACTAGATACAATTTGTGATCTTTTGACGTATCGTTGAAAGAAATCCGTTCAGTGAGAGCTGAGAAAAAGTGGTAACAGAAAAAAAAAAAAAAAAAAAAAACACATCATAGTAAAACCAATACCTTCTCAGCTTCGCATCGAAGCTAAAAGTTACAAATCTCTATTATAAGACATACAGAACAAATAAATAAAATACAACAATTTCATGAAAATAATAAGAACTATTATTAGCAAGTTAAAGTGGTGTTAATCAATATTAGAACATGAAAAACAAATCTGTACATTAATATAGCTCATGTTTAATTGACAAGGTACGCAATCGTAATTTTTCACTAAAGTATAAGTTATAAAAAAAAAAAAGAAAATACATAGAATCAAAATAAATATCCATGATAAAACTTTTTATAAAATGATATAACAATGCATCGTCTTAAAGTAATTAATATAATTATTAATTAAAAATTATGTCTATCTTTAATATCATATTTGAATTATCAATTCAAAAATCGCGCGATTTTAAAGTGCATTCGGCAGCGGTCGTATTTCTCTGATTGTATAACGAATGCACAAAAACACAAGGCGATACACATGCGTGTACTACGACAAAGACCAACATTTATTTTAGAAAATAAGTAGATAATAAGGGAAAGTCAGCCACTGGAGATCTAATGTTGTTCACGCCAAGTGTGAGAGCTGCACTGGTTGGGTGTGGTCAGCTAGTAGTACTTGTGCGCTATCAGCTGTTAGGACGCCTTATCATCGGCCCGTGTTGTTCGGGCGTTTTTTTTCAAAATATAATGTATGTACCTGTTTTAAAATTATACAGTGTTAGGTTAAATTGGCTTGTTAGTTAAGTGTTATTTTTTTGTATTATTGAAAGAAAAAAACGTTGTTCAAGTTTTATGTCAAAATACATTATCCATATTATTTTTTAAAGGCATAAAGTTGTTTTCAGTTTTTTTTCTTTTACATTGGCTGGTACATTATTACAATAAAATTGCGGGTATTGTATTACTGTTATAAATTATAATTAATTTTATTCATATGGAGTATAACTAAATGTAAGTAGTATGGATTATCATATTTATTAATTATTTAATTTAGAAATAATAAAACATTGGTTGTTGTTATTTGAATAATTCATTATATTTATTAAGTAAAACAATCTTAATTTGGATTAACAAAAAATAATTTTCATTTAACAAATTTTAAATTGATTAAGAAATTTTTGTTGATTATTAATTGCTCCTATTTTAAGCCACACGACGAAGTTCTGTTCCCCATTTTTATTTGGGGTTTTTCAGAACAGCCCAAGCGACAACAAGCGACAACAAATGTCATCAATATTCTTCAATTAATTTCTATTGAAAGAATATTAATGATACGCAAAAATTCATTATCCAAATTTGGATTATCATTTTTCAAAGCTTCAACCACACATAGAATATCGTGATTTTTCTTCCGAGCAGCAGTATATTTTTCATTAATAATTAACTCATTTTTAATTAATAATCTATATTTTCCTTGTTTAACTAATTCTAAATATTTGGCATAACTTTGTTCATAACTGAGATGTTGAATATTCTAATATTCAAAAATTAAAAAAAACAAATTAATATTTGAAATACAGTGATTTTTTTATCATAACCCACTTAATTATACTTACAAAATAAAAATAATTTAAACATTTTTTTTTGTTATCTTTAGATACACATTATTCTTGAATTATCAACTATGTAATACTTTTTAAACCCATCTCTTATGTATGATATACATGTAAAATACACGAAGGATTACAAATACAAAATAGGTATCTATTTGGTTTTTTATGACATCACTATCACAGTCACGGAGTGTTATTGTCAATTATGACTATCAATAGGTATAAATTCTGTATTGCTAGTGGTGTATTTATAAACGTACAACGATGAGCCTTCTACTGCTAGGCTTTCTATTTTGTTTTACATTGGCTCTCGCGTATTGGATACGAATACGCGCCATTTATTTGAAAGCGATATACTTCAAACAGAAATTCCGACATTTGATGTTTTACATAAATTTGTTAATAAGCGCTGTAAGATATTGGAAAACAGTAGCTGTTTTGAGAACATAGACACACACCATAATCAAAATTCGTCTTATTCCAATAATGTTTTTAATGTATCTACCGTTGACTCTCAAATGTCACTCTTGACATCATGCGCTGCGTCGTCTATCAATAATAAGTGTATTTGTTATACCACAGACACGCATACACTCTATCGTTGTACGGCATTCAAACAGTTATCAGTTCAAAGACGCCGTGATTTTGTCAAATCAAACAAATTATGTTTCTCGTGCACGAGTCCTTCACATAAGGTCAACGCTTGTACTTCTACGTCCACTTGTAGACAGTGTAACAAGCTTCATCGTACAATGCTAAACATGGATTTCAAATCGAATGTGTATCATCGACTAATATTACGTCAGACTCTAGACAATCTCCATCTGAAGAATCAAACATCCAGTTTGCCGGTACTGCACGTACAAGTGATTAGTACTGCAGTTAATACTGCAGTAGTGATTAGTACGGCAGTTGTTCGTCTTTCAGATGAATATGGTAATTATCATTCGGTCCGCGTACTATTAGACAGCGTCTCTCAAATTTCGGCGATTACCGATGAGTGCGCTACGCGTATTGGACTAACGCGTCGTCCATGTCAAACAGAATTAATTGACCTAACTCACAATACGGTTGGTCAAGTAAAAGCTTGTACTTCTTGTACTTTTGTACCTCATCATACAACGGTTTCGGTTTTCAGTTGCAAAGACTTATTTATTTTACCACAAATAACGTCACAAATGCCAACTGTCTGTCAATCGTCTACCGTTCGTGCACGGTACGATCATTTGTTATTAGCCGATCCGCAATTTCACCAACCGGCATGAATTGACATGCTTATCGGCAGTGTTAAGAATCCCTGAATATTATTCTATAATTGTGTAGAGTATATAATACATGGTCGTCCGACTGTCGTCGAACACAGGAATGTGGTAATCATCCAGTTTATCGTAAATCTTCTTCTAAGCTATGTGAGATTTTATTGTTAGAAAATACACAAGATTTACCTCAATCACGCAAAATCATTTATGTATCATTTAATAACAGTATATGGAATCGGTTATCGAATACTAATTCTTGGATTTATTGTACGCGAGACGAACTAGTGACTCTGAATTGTAAATCTCCTCAACGCACCTTTTCTATTTATATAAAAAATATTGGTCGTTTAACAATATCTCCCACTTGTTTTGTTCATACCACTTCGNTTAACAATATCTCCTACTTGTACTGTTCATACCACTTCATTAATTCTAACGCCCATTTCAACTGTACTCTACAACCATTCTAATGATATAGTCCCTCTGAATCCTATGTTTAACTTAATTAACACGTACACAGAATCCATTATTAAGGCAACCCCACAACAAATAACAAATACCGATTTATTCAACGATCTTTGTAAATTAGTTAAACATACTACAAATTGGTATACAAATCCAAATAGCAATAATTTTTTACTAAGTCATTATCATATTGTAATCATATATATTTGTTTGTCAATTTGTATCATATCAATTATAATTGTCGCTGTATTCTTTAAGTGTAAGAAAAAAGTAATTCAAGTATATACCACTGAAATTACTAATACACATCTCTGAATCTTTCTATTTTAAATTATATAATTCGCCAATATGAAAAACATTCTAAATCCCTTTGCAATTGTATAACTTTCTTTATCTGATTTCCCTTGAGTCAATGGGAATCATTAGACCCCCATTGCTCATTTAGGTTGAGGGGTGTTAAGAACCCCTGAATATTATTCTATAATTGTGTAGAGTATATAATACATGGTCGTCCGACTGTCGTCGAACACAGGAATGTGCTGACCAAGGGTTTTAGGGCAACCATGGGCAAAAGATTCCCGCTGTAGGTACCCTACAGTCAGTCGTGGTTTAGTATGCGCTAGTTACACTCATTCTAAATCATTCTATGTCATTCTATTTTATTATTCTATTCATTTGTATTAATATTAATAAATAACGTGTATTGTATTATTAATTGTGTCAATCAAATTATATATTCTAAATTTTTATTGAAAAGTGAGTGTTTTCTTTTTCTTATTAATTTTAATTCCTTTTACCACGTGGGCCCGCACAACAGGCAGTGACATGTTTCCGTATTTGAATCGGATTAATACAAAGACCATTTATTCTGAAGGATTGCCATCAGCAATTAATACTTATCTTGGTTGGGTAATAGTAAGCAAGATAAGTCAGTCGCGTTACAGTTCGTCACCGGAAAAAGTTTTAACAGTTATGTCACGTCCATTGTTTAGTAACTCTTCGCAAAATATTCATTCTTATAAACCAAAGTTTCATACAGGTTTGTACAACATTAAAAAGAACATCTACAATCATTGGCCTTTTGATGATCAAACTCGTTGCTCTTTACTAAGAACGACCAACGCACCAGCACAACGTCTTACAACTAAACACCACCGCGTATTTTAGTCTCTCGTATATAAACTGTTAAGGACCGTACAACTTGATTCGTTGACCGTTTCCTTACATAGTCCCGTATCTTTTGATAAGTGCATATAAGACTACGTTAAATTATTATTTATTTGATTATATTTTGTTCACGTTGTTATTTCATGTTATTATTAAGACTACATCTCAAGCTAAGTTCATAATTACTCAAGTTATTTTGAAAGCCTTCGTCTTTCAAAGCGGGGATTGTTTATGGTACAGAACGATCTAGTTGACCAGTTGTTACAAAAATCATTGATTATACTTTTTCGTGAGACAGCTGATCACCAGCATCTTGCTTTACTCACCTCCTTGCCCACTCATCACGGCAAATCCATGACCTCCGTGTCGGTTTTCATCCGTGTACAGTTCTTTGTCGTAAGTCAATTGTTTTCTTATGTGTCACTTTTTTCTGTAACAAGCGCCTTCACTTGAATGGTAAATCGTCCGGCCGTTGTACGCCATAGTTTTTTATTACTTGTTTATTGTACCCTTGTGCTCAAAGTTTACGTGCCCTTGCACGCCACTAGTGATTGGGCCCTGACCATCACTAAATATCTCCATTGCCGTAGTCTGTTCTCATCTGCCATTACGTACCTGGATTTACACTCTAACTCGTCATATTCAGATGTTCGACACCATTACCACAAGATCTCATACAGTCCACATATCATCATCAACAACTTCATCTATTCAGCTGAGTTTATATTATTTTTTAATGTTATTTATTGTTTGTTTTAATTGAGATTAACTATTTTGTTTTATGCCGCTTCGCCGGCCATTAGTATTCAAGGGCCCCCCGTTACCTCTTAAATTCAAGATACTCTCTGAGGAATTTCTATTATATGTGATTATTTGTTATTTAATTATTGCCTACTCGCGTTTACTTATTGGATGTATAGTTGTGTATGTATTGTGTACGAGGCAGCTAGACCGTAGGACGGCTAGTTGTGCACCGCGCTAGAATGCCGTTTTACCTTAAGCCTGTTTAAAAAAAAACGTTATTATTGATGCGGGAGAGGGTCACCTAGGAGATGACGGCTAACTATAATAATATGCGAATATCCAATTAAAACCAATTAGCTACCTCTATTTGTAATCCCTCGTTTATTATACATGTATATAAACTCAAAATTTTGAAATTTTATACATATTAAACGAATAAAGTTAAATTAAACATTCACATGCCATTTACTATTTAATTAAAAACTCAAACATTTTATTAAATTCAAAATATGTGTTCCCATTTCATAAAACCAAAGTTGACACCCATATAAGGCATAAGGGATAAACTTAAAAAGTATTACATGGATAATAATTTAAGAATATGTAACTAAGGGTAACTAAAAATATATATATATTAAAATTATATTAATTATGTAAGTAATTGAGTGGGTTTTGTTATATAAATAAAGAAATATGAGGAACACAGGAAGCTTGAAAACATTCTGATATTTTAGAATTTAATGAACTCTATATGAAAATTTAAATGAACATTTTTAAAAAATTGTAGAAAAAAAAATATTAATTTTGCTTTACATTCAAATATAGCAAAAAAAAACTAGCTTTTTTGTTATAACTTAATGTCAATTTTTTTATACTTAATAAATATTCAATTATACGATATTTATATAATTTTATAACATTACAATTTTTGTCTGAATATAACAAATTGTATACATTTTTTTTTCTTTAAAATTTAATGTTGAGGAAAATACAAGCAAAGTTATAAACATTCCACTTTTAGTAAAAATATTTTCATCTCATGTGAAGTGAAACAGTTTGGTAAAATGTTAGATATTTTAATTACTAGGTGACGTGGCATAGTTGGATCAAGTATAATNGGCACAGTGGTGACGTGGCATAGTTGGATCAAGTATAATGATATCTGACAGTGATTAAAATAACTATAAAAAAAAAACGCTTCGATGCAAATCTTTAGATAGTGTTTAATTTTAAAAAAATGGTGGATCATTCCAAAAGCTACATGATCTGCTAGCTCCTTATTAATATCCTGATTAAGATAAAGTATGTCGAATGAAAAAGGGATTATTAAAAAAATTATTTCTCATAAAAAAATTATGTTGATCCATACACTTTTCAATAAGTTATAGCATTATAAAGTTAAAAATGTAAAAAATAAAGTCGAGAATTTTCACACAATAATAGCATTCGGTAGCCAATTTCACCCTGAAGACAAAATAAAGTACGAAATTTTTTTTTTCCATAATAAAGTGCATTACATAATTTTTAATTTAAGAGGTATATATAAAAAATTCAGTATTTTCGGAACACTTTCAAAAGTTAAATTGAAAAAATAAATTTTTTGTGAAAAAGTTGTTATTTTAAATCCCCCCCTGTGGGCTGGTAATGAGTCAGATATAAAAAAAATATACCAAATGATAGGTAAAGACATCATGCATCTATATAAAAAAAAATTATATTGATCCATACATCTTTCAAAAAGTTATAGCATTATAAAATTAAAAATATAAAAAAGAATTTTTTTACAAAAATCGTGTTTTTTTTATTAACTTTGATATCTGTTTTTTCTACAAAGATAAAATAAAGTTCGAAATTTTTTTTTTTCCATAATAAATTATATTACATTAGCTTTAATTTAAGATATATATATAAAAGTGTCAATATTTCCGGAACACTTTCAAAAATTAAGTTGAAAAAGTTCTACTTTCTATATGCATTTTTATGTTTTGAACCCCCCCTGTATTAAGGGAAATGGTCCGATTTAAAAAAAAGTATGTCGAAAGAAAGATGTATACAAATAATACTTCTCATAAAATAATAATTATTTTATTGATCATTACAATTATTGTAATGATCCATACATTTTTCAAGAAGTTATAGCATAATAAAGTTAAAAATGTAAAATACAAAATCGAGAATTTTCACACAAAAACAGCATTTGGTAGCCATTTTCACCATGAAGATAAAATAAAGTCCGAAATTTTTTTTTTCTATAATTGAAAATTGAAAATAATAAAGTATATTACATAAGCTTTAATTTAAAATATATATAAAAGTGTCAGTATTTCTGGAACACTTTCAAAATTTAAGTTGAAAAAGTTAATTTTTTGTGAAAAAATTGTCATTTTAAATTCCCCCACTTTGGCCAAGTCTAGGGTCGAATTTATAAAAAAAATATACCAAATGATAGGTAAAGACATCAAGCATCTACAAAAAAAAATTATATTGATTTTTTCATTATAAAAAAGTTATGGCAGTTTTTAGTAAAAAAAATTGATAAAATTTAGAAAATTAGCGATTTTTAAATTTGTAATTTTTTTGGAGGTTTCCCCCATTTACGAAGAACGAGGGAAATTTTTGAGGTTAATGTCTTTGACTAGATACGATTTGTGATCTTTTGACGTATCATTGAAAGAAATCGGTTCGGTGAAAGCCGAGAAAAAGTGGTAACAGTCATACAAAAAAAAACACACATCATAGTAAAATTCATACCTTCTCAGCTCGCATCGAAGCCAAAAAAATAAATAACAAGTAATTATGAAATAATAGGTCATGCCATTTGTTTTGATAAATAGATTAACTATAGTTTGTTTTCAATCTTCCTTCAAGAGGTCCAATTCATTTTTCTTAATTTAAACAATACTTATTTATAAATAAATTTTAGACAACATGTATACGAACTCTAATTTTAATTCTATTAGCATTTTCAATTTCTTGCTTTATGTCTCCAAAATTTTTCTTTATCTGGCTTAATTCTTTACATGATGTAAAATAGTGACTTTCTATGTTGTCTTTTTCTTTGTGTATAATATTTAAATTTATTTCCAAATGTTTACACTCCTAAAATTCCATATGTAATAATTTTAAAATCAATTTTTTTAAATAAAATATATAAAGTGAATGTGAGAAAACATTTTGGGATCTCACTTTTTAAGAAATACTTTTTTTTTTTTTTTTTAATATATTTTGTTGTAAAAAATCACATAGACCAAAGATGTTGTTCTAGAATAATGCATTGATGAAGTTAAGAAAAGGCCTTGGGGGCTAAGCCTCTCTAAAAATTAAGAAAATTATAAAAAATGTGATGTAAAAATATTTTTTAGGTGGAGTATAATTATCATTAAAACCCAGAATTTTTTTCTGAACGTAGCTTATGGTGTAGATACATAGATAAGAAGTTTCTTATTTCCTCAAAATTATATTTAAATTGTTTAAATTTTAGAAGAATTCAAATCCACCCTCCCATCAATTACACCTCTACATTATAAAACTATCCAAGGATACTTAAGACAATATTTGAGGCTATTTTCTAGGAATTTACAAGTAAATTTTATTAAATATTAAGATGAGAAAACACTTTTATTATTATGTATATATATATATTTTTTTTTTACTGTATTAAATAATTTCCCTTGATAAAATTAATTTTTTGGCTGATGACAGAAAACACCTTTTCCTATCTATATCTTTAATGATCTTATAACGCTATTCTTGTGATTTATCAATTTTTAGAAAACAACTGACAAGTATAGAAATTAGATATACAATTAACACTACTAATACATCTTTAAACACTATAGTTAAAATCTTACTTAAACTTTATACTATAAATTTATATTAACAATGATTTTAAATACAAATTATTTACAAAATTGTTTTTAAAAAAAACCCAGCACAGTGAGTTCGCGGAATAGTGGAGACGTTGCATAGTTGATTAAAATCACTATCATAAGAAACGCTTCGATGCAAATCTGTAGATAGTGTTCAATTTTAAAAAAATGATGGATAATTACAAAAGCAACATCAACTTCTATTTCCTTAATTATACCCAGATTAGTAATTCCTTTAATTATTTATTATATAATTTTTAAAATTAATTGTTTTCAAATTATTATTGATTTTGATTTTTAATATGTTAAAAGTAATCATTTTGAACCTACTTTTTATTTTCCTTTTAATAAAAAAAAAATAATTTGTTACCTTAACTTATAGTTCAACTATGAATGTGTTAAAACTTTCATGGATTGTCTTGTTGCTTGAAGTGCTTGAGGATATATCCATGTTTACATGGATATATCCTCAAGCACTTCAAGCATTATAGTTCAATTTGCAAGTTTAAAATTGACATTATTAAATAGAAAAAGTTATGCTAATTTTAAGAAAAAAAAAACCCAGCACAGGGGGGTCGCGGCACAGTGGTTACGTGGCATAGTTGGATCAAGTATAATGATATCTGACAGTGATTAAAATCACTATCAAAAATAAACGCTTCGATGCAAATCTTTAGATAGTGTTTAATTTTAAAAAAATTGGTGTTTTATTCCAAAAGCTACTTGATCTGCTGGTTCCTTATTAATATCTCGATTAAGATAAAGTATGTCGAATGAAAAAGGGTTTATTAAAAAATATTATTTCTCATAAAAAAATTGTGTGGATCCATAAACTTTTCAATAAGTTATAGCATTATAAAGTTAAATATAATATAAATAATAAAATCGAGAATTTTCACACAAAATAAGCATTCGGTAGCCATTTTCGCCGTGAAGACAAGTCCAGAGGTCAAATTTTTTTTTATATAAAAGTATATAACATAAGCTTTAATTTAAGATATATATAAAAGTGTCAGGCCTTTCGGAACATTTTCAAAAGTTATGTTGAAAAAGTAAATTTGTTGTTGTAAATTTGTCTCCCCTTCTCACGAGGGGAGACTATAGTGATAGGATCCTTTATATTTATTGATTAATTGAATATAAATGATTTGAAAATTTTATTCTAACTCAAAAAAAATGCAAAATATTAATGATTACAGACGGATTTGAATCTCGTACCGAAAGCATGAAAGACACAAGTGTTACAGACTCGGCAACTGTTCATTGCTTTCGTTGCTTGATAAAATTAGCTATTTAAGCTAACTTAAATTGAAAAATTACTTTTTCGACTTTAAAAAAAAAAAAAAAATTTAATAGCATTTAAAATTAAATTAGTAGCATACACAAATAGAGTAAAAAAATTATTAAATTACAAAGCAAAATGATTTAATTTTGTAGTTGAATACTTTTATCATATCAAATCTAATTCGACAATGAACACTTTAAGAATATAAAAAATTAATGACTTTAATTGTTTGTATGGAAAAAGCTGGTTAAGCTACTTCTTATTTGAATAAGGAATATTTTTTCGATTTTAAAGAGTAATAACTTAAACTAAATACGAATTGTAATCATTTGACGTATCGTTGAAATAGTAGGTCTAGTGAAGGTTGGCAAAATAAATCGTAGCCACAAGAAGAACCACATAGTAAAATAATATTAACATGAATATAAATTTCTTCTCACGAGGGGAGACTAGAGTGATAGGATCCTTTATATTTATTGATTAATTGAATCTAAATGAAATAAATATCAAATGATTTGAAAATTTTATTCTAACTCAAAAAAAATGCAAAATATTAACAGCCACAGACGGATTTGAACCTCGTAGTACCGTTAGCATAAAATACACAAGTGTTACCGACTCGGCAACTGTTCATTGCTTTCGTTGCTTGATAAAATTAGCTATTTAAGCTAACTTAAATTGAAAAATTACTTTTTCGACTTTAAAAAAATAAAAAAAATTTAATTTCTTATGTCTTATGTCTTATGAACTTTATTCTATGTCAATTAAATTATAAAATATTCATGAAAGTCAGTGTATTGTCCTTATAAGATATTTTAAAATAAAATAAAATACAAAAACCAGGATTTTAACACAAAAATAGCATATTTTTGAATACGGTTGCCATTTGCGCATAGAAGATAGATCGTCGGGACAAATTTTTTTTTAACTTTATAATACATGAAATAACTTTAATTTGGCATATGTTTAAAGGATGCAGCATTTCTGGAACATTTTCAAAAATTTAGTTGAAAAAGTTAGTTTTTGTAAAAAAGTTGCTACTTTAAATCCCCCCTGTGAGCAGAATAAGTGTTAGATTTATATCAAATTAAATTATATCAAATGAAAGAGAAATATCTAAGGTTTCAATATAACAAAATGTTATTTTGATTTGTTAATATTTGAAAAAGTTATGGCAGTTTTAAGTACAAAAAACATCCCGATAAAAGGTGATTTTATCTTCGATGCAAAGCTGAGAAGGTTAAAATTAGAAATAAATCATGAAATAGGATCCATTTTCATTAAATTATACAAATGGATGTAATATGTAATTTTACTGTTCTCTTTATTAAATATGTTTAAAAATATTTAAAAATTAACTTACGATTTTACTTTTATATATATTTAACCGTAAATCATCCATTTTTTTATTTATTCTTTGTTTAGGTTCACTTTTTTCTTTTATTTTACTTTTCTTGGAAGCTACTTTATTGTAAATAGTTACACTTTTAGATATACAACCTTCCAAATCAATATAGAATTTTTCTAAAGTTTTTTTTAATTGATTTTCCCTTATCTGTTTAATATAACATTACATGTAATATTGAGAAAAAATGTTCAAAAATTAATCTTATTTGTACCTGCATTCTATGAATTTTTATTTTCATAGCATCAATATGTCTTGTATCCCCTTTTTTATTAACAATCTCCTTTTTAATTTCAATAATTTGCTTGATTTTATTATCCCAAGTTATGATCTCTCGTTGCTTTTCTATGTATTTATTTTGTATTTCGTCTAATTCAGTTTTTATGGCTTTTAATTGATCAGCATATTCTATACATTGTTCTTCACTTTCCTAAAAACAACAAAAAATCCAGCACAGTGGGGACGTGGCATAGTTGGGTCCAGTATATGTTTAATCTGACAGTGATTAGAATTTTCACCGTGTCAGAATCACTATCATAAGAAACGCTTCGATGCAAATCTGTAGATAGTGTTTAATTCTAAGAAATTGGTGGATAATTACAAAAGAATATCAACTTATATTTCCTTTATTATATCCAGATTAGTAATTCTTTGATTCAAAAATATAATATATAATTTTTATAATTAATTATTTTCAAATTATTATTGATTTTGATTTTTAATATGTTAAAAGTAATCATTTTTAACCTACTTTTCTTTGTGAAAGTTTATAATGAAAAAAAATGAATTTATTGCCATAACTTTTAGCTGAACTTGCAGGTTTGAAATAGCATGTTTAACGTGAATGACTCTAGTGTTACCAATTCGGCAACTGTTCGTCGCTCCGTTAATTAATAAAATTGACAATTTAAGCAATTTTAAAGTAACTTTTTTGACTTTAAAAAAGCAAAAAAATTTAATTAAGTTTAACTTTTTATGTCTTATAACTTTTATTCTATGTCAAATAAATTATATAATATTCATGAATATTATCGTATTCTCCTTGTAAAATATAAAAAAAAAAAAAATACAAAACAGAATTTATTTAAACACAGTTTTTAACAACGGCAACTATTTGCACATTAAAGATAAGTCGTCGGAAAATTTTTTTTTTTTTTATAGTACATGACATAATTTCATGCTAATTTAATATATGTTTAAAGGACGCAGTATTACAAGAAAAATTTCAAAAGTTAATTTTTGTAAAAAAGTTGCTGTTTTAAATCCCTCCTGTGTGCAGGTTAAGTGTTAGATTTCAAAAAAATAATATCAAATGAAAGGAAAATATCTAAGGTTACAATATAAAAAAAAATTAACTTGATTTGTTAATTTTTGCAAAAGTTATGGTAGTTTTAAGAAAAAAAAGTGAAATAAATGATGAAATATACCAATTTTTAAAATTGTAATTTTTTTGGAAATTTCCCTATTTTTTCAATTTTTAAGGGTAGTGTTTTCAACTAGATACGATTTGTGATCAAAATCGGTACAGTGAGAGCTGAAAAAAAGTGGCAATAAACACACAAAAAAAAACACATCATGGTAAAATTTATAACTTTTTAGCTTCGCATCGAAGCCAAAAATAATAATTATTTTTTCAATTATAATTTTAATTTATAACATAAAAATTAGAATTAAATGATCGAATTCATTTACCTTTAATTCTGCATCATATTTATTTTGTAACCATTCACTTTCAGTTGATAGAAAATTGGTCTTTCCTTTTGTGTTGCTTATGTTTTGACTATATTTTAATATATCATTTCTCATATGTGTAAAATTTATTTTATAATGATCAATTTTTTTACTTAAACTTTGTATGTCTTGTTTCAATTCAACATTTTTTGCATCTGCCACACTATTATCTAAAAAGACACCATATAGAATGCTTTAAAAAAATGCTTGCTAGCATTTACCTTTTATAAAACTTAATTATTAATTAATGTTCATTAGATGATAAAAATATACACAGATTAGTACAGTAGACGTGTCACTCATTAACATTAACGGTCCATTAAGAGCTACTGAGGTCTCCTTAGAGGAGGGAAGATTTCTTAACCTTTATACACCTGGACGAGTGGTTATAGTATGAAACAGAAATATAAAGCTACTCATCAAATAATCTATAAAATTTTTCATTAAAAAAATATATAATATAGATAAATTCCTATTTACAAGGAAAAATAATTATTTGTGTAAAACTAAAACAAATAATAACTCATATATTACTTTAAACTAAATATTTTTAATTAAATTATTTATCATAGCTATGAATGCATGTAAATATTATTTATAAGAGCATTCTTGTCTCCTATACATGCTTTGTTTTTTGAGAGTAAAAAATTTCATTTGTGTTATTCATTATGATAATATTTTTGTTTTATTTACTTTAAAATATTCTATTTAATAAAAGTAAGTTTAGTTCTTCACTTATTGATTTAAAATAAATAAAAACACTAATTTATATAACAGAAAAAATGTAGACGGTTTATTGTTTAAACAGTAAGAAAATTTATTTAAAAATTATATTAATGCACTAAGTGTACTTAACTACTTAACCGATTAACTGACGACTGGCTAACTAACTGATTGACGTTATTGTTACGTCGCGCCGTTTTATATTGTATTGAGTTCCAGAAGATTCTCGTATAGAGTGTTCGAGAACATTCGCGCTATATGCATTTTGTGTTGCCTATCCGTCGCGAAGATTCTCGATCATTCCATAGTCACTACAGTAGGTTTACAGTGTACTTACATTTTTTCAATTTATTAATCTTATTAATCAAAACATTTCTTTGTTCAGTTTTTTTTATATTATTATTTTGTTTTTCAATCCAGGATTTTTTAAGAAAATCTATTTTATTATTTATATCTTCCAATTCTTTCTTAACTTGTACTATTTGGACTTGAGGTGTCTTTAAATTTCCCTCCTGTTGTAAAATGTAGCCATGTATAGATTATAAATTATTAAGTAGAAGGTATATTTTATTGCTATAATATTTATTTCCATTGGAGGTCATACATAATTTTTTATAGTACGGTTTTTAAAAATCTTAAAATTTAGTTCATTAACTCCCAATGAATCAAAATATTTAGTTTATACAATAGAATTATATATGTGGCTAAAAACTATGGGGTATACCTACACAATCTTAAATTATTCCATTAACAATCTTAATTTGTTAAAATATTCTTACCTAATAATCAAATATGTATAATATGTAAATATGTATATAGTAACATCAAAATGTTTACTTACATCTTGTTTTTTTCTTATAGTTTCTAAATTTTTAGTTTCTATATCACATTGCCTTGATTTTCGTTGAATGTCACAATGTAATTTGTTTAGTTCCGATTCCAAGTCAAAAATTACCTTACTTTTTTTTGTCATATTTTTAGTACTTTCTTTTATATCTATTTCTACAATAGATATTTCTGTATGAATCTGTTCTTTATTTAATAATGTTTGACAAAAATTGTTTTCTGTTCGAATCAACATTAGCTCCTACACAAAAATGTCAATTTAATTTTTTTTTTTTAATTTTTCAAGTTTTAATTACATTTTTTTTATTCTTTGCTTTTATTTCACTGATTTTGTTATTTATATTAATGCAACTTCTATTAGTAAGCATTTGTGTTTTTAAAGCATCCACAATTTCATCTTCTAGCATCAATTTTTTATTAGACATTAGTTCTAATGAATGCATCAAAATATTAATTTCATTTTGAAATGATTTTTGTTCCTAAAAATAAGTTTAATAGATATTTTATAAATGTAAGTTGATAGCACACTGAAAACTCAATTTATTATATCTCACAGATAATAGTCCACTCAAATTTTGATTTTGAAATTCAATCATTTGTAATAGTTTAAAATGTTCATTACTTAAATTGTTTAGTTCATTAAAATGATTATCATAATTCTGCTGTATATTAATTTGTTCTTGTTTTAATTTATTAAGGGTATTCATTAGGTCTTTTTTTTTTTTTAATTCATTATTTGTACTTTGTTTATAACTATTCGCTTCCATTATCAGAGTTAAGATTCGATTTTTTGCTTTCCTATAAAAATAATATTGTTGATATTTTAAATGCTTTACTTAAGACAAAAATTTTAAACTTTAACTGTAAGTCATTTTTTTTATTATGAATTGTTTCATCGAGTTGTTGAATGCTACTTAAAACTTTTTTCCAAAGTACAGCAATTTTTGTATTATCAGTATTAATAGTATGAAGTTCAATAGAGCTATCCATAACTCTTTGATTTAAAATTTGTCTTTCATCAAATTTAGTCTTTGCTTGTTCTCCAAGCTCTTTAATACGGACTTCTAAACGTATTATTTCTTGAGTCAGAGAAAGTAATAATAGATTCTAATAAAAATAATAATATACAATATTATTTTTCATCGTAAATTTTTCTGAATAAATATTTAAATAATTTAAAGAGTGCCTGTTTTTGGTGTTCCTTTAACATTTTATTTTTGTGATGCCTAACGCTGGATTCTTTTTGATTACACAAAATAAATGTATTTTCTTGATCTTTTTCATAATTTAATAACTCGTTTAAAAATATCCTACTATAGTCTAACTGTCTATTTAAATCTAAAACTTTTTAAATAATTTATATGAATTAAAAGCCAATATTTAATAAAATTTGTAGTTTCTTACTAATATTATTTTGCTCTTTAATTTTTCTATCAACATCTAAAAATCGCTGTTTTCCTTTATCTATATGATTATCAACTTGTTCTTTTGTCATTTTTAATTCTATTTTAAGTTTATGTAATTTATCTAATGAAACTTTTTGTGTCTCATTTTGATGAACCAAAATATTTATTTTGTTTTCAAGTAATTGTTTATTATTTTGTGTAGTTTTAACTCTTTCTGTCTAAATTAAAATATACTTTCATAAACATTTTTTCTAAAAAAACCCATCACAAGGAGATCGTGGTACAGTGGTGACGTGGCATAGTTAGATCAAGTATAATGATATCTGACAATGATTAAAATATCTATCAANAGATCAAGTATAATGATATCTGACAATGTTTAAAATATCTATCAAAAAAAACGCTTCGATGCAAATCTTTAGATAGTGTTTAATTTTAAAAAATTGGTGGATTATTCTAAAAGCTACATGATCTGCTATTTCCTTATTAATATACTGATTAAGAAAAAGTATAATGTCGAATGAAAAAGGGATATAAATATTATTTCTCATAAAAAATTGTGTTGATCCATACACTTTTCAATAAGTTATAGCATTATAAAGTTAAAAATTCGGTAGCCATTTTCACCGTGAAGATAAAATAAAGTCCGAAATTTTTTTTTTCCATAATAAATTATATTACATTAGCTTTAATTTAAGATATATATATAAAAGTGTCAATATTTCCGGAACACTTTCAAAAATTAAGTTGAAAAAGTTCTACTTTCTATATGCATTTTTATGTTTTGAACCCCCCCTGTATTAAGGGAAATGGTCCGATTTAAAAAAAAAGTATGTCGAAAGAATGATGTATACAAATAATACTTCTCATAAAATAATTGTAATGATCCATACATTTTTCAAGAGTTATAGCATAATAAAGTTAAAAATGTAAAATACAAAATCGAGAATTTTCACACAAAAATAGCATTTGGTAGCCTTTTTACCGTGAAGATAAAATAAAGTCCGAAATTTTTTTTTTCCATAATAAATTATTAGGGTCAGATTTATAAAAAAAATATACCAAATGATAGGTAAAGACATCAAGCATCTATAAAAAAAAATTATATTGATTTTTTCATTTTTGAAAAAGTTATGGCAGTTTTTAGTAAAAAAAATTGATAAAATCTCGAAAATTAGCGATTTTTAAATTTAAAATTTTTTGGAAGTTTCCTCCATTTACGGGGAAGGAAGGAAATTTTTTCAATTTTTGAGGGTAATGTCTTCGACTAAATACGATTTGTGATCTTTTGACGTATCATTAAAAGAAATCGGTTCGATGAGAGATGAGAAAAAGTTGTATCAGACAAAAAATAAAAATAAAACCACATCATAGTAAAACTAATACCTTCTCAGCTTCGCATAGCAGCTAAAAATGTAATTATTTTTTTACCAGCAACAATATTTCTTCTTCTAAATTTAATTTTTGTTTCAATGAATATTGCTTGTAAGTATTTTGTAACCTTATCATTGTAGGATTATCTTGTTCTAATACCATTAATTGATTATTTTTTACTATAGCCGACATAATTAATTTAACTATATAAGAGGCAGCAGCCGGATTATTGATTATATATCACACATTATAATCGTATACACTGTAAAAAGATAACAATGGTGGTCTATAACCGTCTGGTTATAAACCACTTTAGATACGTTGAGTTGTCCGCACACAAGTACAAAATTACTAAGACGTTGAAAAAGTTACGAACATAGTTATAAATAAATATTCATATTATAATAATGTTAATGAGATTGTTTGTTTACATTTTAATTATTATAAGCCAACCCAACCTAACTATTAAATAATAAAAAATTTAGTGCGTGTTACGAGTACGCTCGGATGAAGTGAAACTTCATTCTGAGTCATTCAACTGATAGGATATTAGGTTTATATTAGGGATAAAATTAAAAAAAAATTAATTTAAAAATTTAATTTTGTCTTATGGTAACTGATATAAATGATTTATAAGTTTTAGAATGAATTTTATCTATATATCGAGTGAAAATTGCATCTGTTGTGATTCCTGATCGAGTTGTTGCAGTTTTTGGATCATTATTTATTGATAAATTAAGATTTTCACGCAAAACATTTTTTAATGGTTCTGATCTACTGATGCGAAATTAATATTAAAGTCTTCACTCAGAATCATAGGAAATTTATCTTCTTCCCTGCTGAGTAATGCTGTACCTTCAGTAGTACAGGTAAACAGTGATCTATTTAAAAAATAAACTATATAATCTATTTTTTGATTGGGCGAGATATAAACTGCTACAATGATGATGATTTGTTCCTTATGTCTTAAACTCTCAGCAAACAAAAATCACCGACTAGGGTACTTCTTGAACTAAATAACTGTGATTGTCCTATTGTCATCTCAATCAATAGAGTGACAATATTAACTATATCGTTATTAAAATGATAAAAGGCTACTCCTCCAGATCTGACGTTTGGTCGCTTATATTTAATGGTACAACTAAAATTAGGGATTATAGTATTCTCGTTTTCATGTTCCCAGATCTCGGTAAAAATTAATATTTTCGAATCTCGAAGGACGGTAACTAGGATGTCTAATGAATGAGCTTGGAGACATTGACAATTTAGACTATAAATTGGCATTCCCGATAATTATATAATAATAAAATCGTTTATTTGTCTATCAATTGTAACTAATTAGCGAGTGGAAAGTGTTATAAATTCATCACGAAGACGCCTCGTGGAATCAGATGTTTTCCTTCCATGATAAAACGTTAAATCTTCGTAATTTTTGCATCATTTGAGCATCAATGTCCCATCCATGTTGTAAAAATATATTGAAATGAAACTTTACAATTCCCAGAGTGAATTGTTTCACTACTTTATACTTTTAACGTTAAGTTAATTATCTTAACATAAATGACGGATCGGGGGGTTTTACTTGACAATCGTATAATTTCAATTCCAAACAGTAACTTTATTATACATATATATATATATATACAAACTAATAAATATTCAATATATCAATATATTAACATTAGAATAATAATAGTAAAAAAAACAAACAAAACCGAAACATCACCCAGCCATCAGCCCTCCATAGTGCAATTAACGTTGAATTGACTGCCAAAACGTTTCCCAATTAATTGTTCCTTTTGCGTATGAAATGTCAACCTGAGCTGCTCTATTTCCGTTGAGCACTCGCGTAATAGCACGTAACGGGTAATATAAAGTGTTGGTTGTCACCTAAACAGGCCAATACCAACCAAAAAACAATCGAATAAAATTAAAAACACGCCAGCTCACTGGCCACGAGTCATCAGACTCAAGAGATGCGGTACGACTTCAATCGCGTACACCGACGTAGTGCTCGCAAGGTGCCGGTAGTGCCGGACACGATTGTTGTCATTACATTGAGAGGGGTAATGCCAACTCGAGCTATGTGTAACTTTACCGGCTACACACATAACTTTTGAACATATGTTTATAAGATCTATGATTGTCTTAAAGTAATTAATATAATTAATACTTAAAAATGATGTCCATCAATGATACTCATATATTGATTTTAAATTGCATTCGGCAACGGTCGCATTTCAACGATTGTATACGAATGCACAAAAATACAAAGCGATGCCATGCGCGTACTACGAAAAAAACGTCAATGATCGAACATACTTTTTATTCATATTACTATGATTAAAGGGATATTTGGAGAAGACAGTTATCTTGATC